GCACCCGACTCAAGAAGAATTGGCGCTCACAACCACGGCGGAATGCTCTAGAGCTACCCCATTGCAAGAAGAAAAAGAATTGGATGGAAAAGGAGGAGATCATACCACGGTTTCCTTGGCAATATCGGCCAAGACAGCCGCGCCGATGGAAGCCTTGCATCCGGCGTGAGGCTTCCTGGGCCTGCTACACCGCAGCGAAATCCCTGTGCGCGTCCAAAATCCCGACACGCTCTCTCCCATGTAAGCCGACCTCTCGGGAAGAATGCACGGCAATCCGCTCCTCTTGCGCGGCGCCAGGCTCACCACTCCCGCTGACGACGAGCATTCACTGCTAGGCGAACAGCAGGAAGAAGAAGGAGAAGAAGAAGAAGAGGGAGATGACAATGAGGAAGAAACGCGCGCCAGCGCCAGCGCCTGGGCACCAGCGACCAACGCCGCCATAGATTTCCCCTCTTCTTCTCTGACCGATCGCCCAAACCCTAGAAGCCAAGAACGTAGCCCATTTGAATCACATTTGTGATTCACGGGCACACTTTTACCCTCCGACCCCGGCGTAAAGAGAAATTTTGCAAGGACTTGAAAGAGGAAAGAAAGAGACGAGGATGACGAAGGGATGGGATAAGAGGCTGCAATGCACCCAGCCTAAAGTGACCTCTCGTCCAATCTCATCTAAACACGACAGCACGGAAGTTATAGCCCCGCCGCATCCAAGCACCTGGAGCGTTAGATTCTCCTCGTGTTGAAACTCCCTCCAAATCCAACGGTTAGTATTTCTCACCTAATTCTCTTCCAACACTAATTGCACTAGCTAATCAAATGAGTTTAGTAATTAAACAGTTATGTACATTATTAAGATTTACATCAGGAATATCTCTATATGGTTTTAAAAACACAGCTCCATTTCGTATGGTTCGCTGCAAGGGGACGTGGGATCTATGTACAGGGACAATGCTGCCAATGCAAAGATGAATATAATTACAAACCTCTCACGTCGCGCTCGCCCGTTCGATCGCAAGAGAGGGCAATCCAATTTCCTGGGAGCTCTCTCTCAGCCAGAGCTTCTTTGCTGAGCCAGCAACGCCAAGAGACCCCCTCCATGAACTCTCCCCTCCGGAACTCCCTCAGGCACGAACAAGCTCTTGGTCGCCACTGGAACCACCACCGGATGATGGAATCCTTGCTGCTGCTGAAAGCCTTGCTGCTGCTCTTGGATCGTCGTGCTCCAGCACTTGTTGATGTCGCCGCTTCCGCCCTCCTGTAGAAACCTGTAGTGATTCTGCTGCTCAAGAACAACCGAGGAGGACGCTGGAGCAGTAGACTGGTAGACGATGCTGCCGGAACTCGACTGCGACACCAAGTCCTTGAACAGCCCCGGAGCAAGCCCGCTAGCCTTCTCCTCCTGCACGATCGAGCTGTGAGCCGCGCAAAGTCCCAGCTTTCCCCTCGCAAATCTGTCACACGGCCCCTTGGACAGCTCCGAGCTCCCCTCCCGGGGTCCGTAGAGCGAGCCTTCCTGTCCCCAAGTACACCGCTTGCCACCCCCGTGAGCCTTGCAAAAGTCCGTGCTCCCCTGAGCACTCTTGCCGCATCCTTCCGTCTTGCACCTCTTCCCTCCGCCATGCTTGACGCAAAAGGCAGTCCTCCCTCTCGCACTCTTGGAGCAGTCCTGGACCGCGCACCTCTTCCCGCCGCCGTGTGCGACGCAAAACTGCGTCCCTCCATGAACGCTCTTCGGACAAATCCCGCCACCTTCGAACATACACCGCTTTCCACCACCGTGTCCCTTGCAAAGCGGAGTGCTCCCCTCGGCACCTTTGCCGCAGCCCTCGATCATACACCTCTTGCCGCCGCCGTGAGCCTTGCAAAACATGGTGCTGCCTTGAGCGCCTTTCGTGCAGCCGGGAACCTGGCAGCGCCTCCCTCCACCGTGAGAGATGCAAAGGCCGGACAGCCCCTCGGCGCTCTTGGTGCATCCTTCGTGCTGGCATCTCTTCCCGCCGCCGTGCTTGATGCACAGGCCGGAGCGTCCCCTGGCAGCCTTGGTGCATCCCTCGTAGGCACAGCGCCGGCCACCTCCGTGCCCGATACACAAGTCCGTCTTTCCCTCGGCGGACTTCGTGCAGCCCAAAGTCTGGCACCGCCGTCCACCTCCGTGAGCTTTGCAGTACGCGGTCCTCCCCTCAGCTCCCTTGCTACAGCCATCTTTCTGGCAGCGGCGGCCACCACCGTGAGCAATGCACAGCCCCGAGGCTCCTCGAGCGCCCTTCCCGCACCCCGCGAACTTGCAAGCTTTGGGAGCTTTGTCAGATCCGGCACCGGTCCTCACGTCGATGTCCAGGTCTGGATCGTTCTCCGAGTGAGAGTGATATTCTTCCTGCTCCGGGAGAGATGC